ATTTTTGTCAGTTTGATTAATACACATCTTGGTTTTTCTTCCTCGGATTTATCCAGTGTGGGACTCTGTGCTTCCTGGACTTAGGTGACTGTTTCCTTTCCCATGTTAGGGAATTTTCAGTTTTTATCTCTTCAAATATTTTCTCAGGCTCTTTCTTTTCTTTCTGAGACCCTGTAATGTGAATGTTGGTGCTTTTTGATGTTGTCCCAGAGGTCTCTAGATTGCCCACATTTCTTTTCATTCTTTTTTCTATATTCTGTTCCACAGCAGTGCTTTCCAGCATTCTTCCAGCTCATTTATCTGTTCTTCCTCATTTATTCTTCTATTGATTCATTCTAGTGTATTTTTCATTTCAGTTATTGTATTTCCAACTCTGTTTGTTGTTTAAATTTCCAGGTATTTGTTAAACATTTCTTGTATCTTTTTGCTTTGTGCCTCCGTTCTTTTTTTGGATCTTGGATCATCTTTACTGTCATTTCTATGAATTCTTTTTCTGTCTCCTCTTCACTTAGTTGTTTTTCTGGTGTTTTATCTCATTCGTTCGTCTGGAATGTATTTGTCTGCTGTCTCATTTTATCTAACTTTCTGTTTTCTGTTTCACAGTCTGCAGGATTGTAGTTCCTCTTTCTTCTGGTGTCTGCCTCTGGGTGGGTGCGGCTGGTCTGAGGGGCTTGTGCAGACTTCCTGGTGGGAGGGACTGGTATCTGCCCACTGCAGGGTGGAACTGAGTCTTGTCCCTCTGGTGGGCAGGGCTTTTCAAAGGGTATGTGTTCAGGAAGACTTTGAAGCGTGGTACTGAGTGGGACTGTATTTTTGCCCTGTTGGTTGTTTGGCCTGAGGCTTCCCAACACTAGATCCTAAGGGGTATATTGGGTGGGACCGGGCCTTGGTGCCAACGAATACTCCCCAGCACCCCTGCCACCAGTGTCCTTGTCTCCATAGTGAGGTACAGGTGTCCCTTGCCTCCCCAGGAGACCCTCCAAGACCAGCAGATAGGTCTGGCCCAGGCTGCTATGAGGTCACCCTTTTTCCAGCTGGGTCCCAGGGCACCTGAGACCTATGTGTGTGTCCTCTGAGAATGGTGTTTGTTTTCCCTTGGCCTGTGGAATTCCAGTGATCAAGCCCTGCTGGCCTTCAAAGCCAGATGCTCTGGGATCTCATCCCCCTGCTAGACGCCCAGACTGAGGAGCCTGACATGGGCTCAGAACTCTCACTCCTGTGGGAGAACCTCTGTGATACTATTGTTTTCCCATTTCTGGGTCACCCACCTGGTGGGTACAGGGTTTGATTACACTATGAATGCATCTCTTCTGAAGTCTTGTTGCTGCCTCTTCTTTGTCTTTGGAAGTTGAACATCTTTATTTGTGGGTTCTGGTTCTTGTTTGTTGATGGTAGTTCAGTATCCAGTTGTGATTTTGGTGTGTTTGTGAGAGGAGGTGAGCTCAGGTCCTTCTATTCAACCATCTTGTCAGGAAATCAAGAAGCTGTTGATTTTTAAACTCAACTTTCTGTTAGGCTGTTAGAATTTCTTTGTCTGCCTATGTGAAAAAAAAGCATACTTCTGCAGCAAAGAAATGCTGCATTTATATACTGCTTATATTCTTTTTAAACTTTAGAACTGACTCCACTAATAGTATATTTGAACGTTCAGCTAGTGAATTTGTGCCTGTTGGTTTCTTGAATGTCAGCTGGGTCGAATCATCCATAGGCTCAGATTGATTAATTTACCAACAGATTGTTTATTCTCTGAGGCCTTGTATTTTGCATTATTATATGGAGGTACGTTGTACAGAAATAGTTTTAAAGGGAAAGAGTAAACTCATACATGAGCAATAACTGGCTAAAATTATTCTTTGTCATGTTATTTTCAATTAAATACTGTACAGATGGGTACTTTTTTGCTGGTAGGTATGGTCAGGAGGAGATAGATAGTCAAAGGGGAACCAGATCCTGAAGTATAGGTGAGACCTGAGTTAGGATGGCAAGTATATGTTAAGTTTCAGTATTTTGCAGAGGACTGGAGTCCTACAGGTCAGAGTCATTTGAATTACAGAGGAGTGATCATTCAGAGCATGCAGTACGGGTCTAGACTCTGGGGGTCGCGACAAGGTGTTGATCAAGGTAAGTGCCCAGTTGATTCAATGAAGAACTGACTTTTGAATATGAGGCAGTGACATTTCAGGTTTTTGTATTTTCTGCTAAGGGGAAGAAACCATTTAATTTAAAAGTGGTTTGATTTAATCCTGATTGGAGCAAGGACAAGAGTCTTAACTCTGAGTGAAGGTGCAGATTTGGAGAAACCGAGTGTTAAACAGATGAGTGAGCGTAAAAGGCACGGGGTGAAGAAGAAAAGGAGTTAACCTTTGTCGTGAGACCCATCGCAGTGACATTCATAAATATCTACGGAAACTATGTCACTCTTACAGGGCAGCATAAACTTACTCTGCTGTGGCATAATAAGAAATACATAGGGAATTACCTGGCAGCCCAGTGGTTTGGATTCTATGCTTCCATTGCAGAGGCCTGGGTTTGATCTCTGGTCTGGGAACTAAGATCCCATGTGCTACTACTGGAGGTGGCCAAAAAAAAAGTAGTACATAAAAAATTTGATCTTTGTCCCAGGTTCCTGACAACTTGCTCCTAAAACCTGTGGAATCTCAGGAGTGATAGAGTGTTTTTGTATCCCCTCCAGACAGTTGTATCCCCATACAGAATGGGGGCTGTTTGCCAAAGCAGCCAAGCGTGTGATTAGAAGGTTGGCACTTGCAGCGCCTTCGGTGTATCTCTGGGGAAGAAAAAGGGACTGGAGATTGAACTAAGCACCAGTGACCAGTGATTTAATTGGTCTAGTGTATGTAATGAAACTGGGCTTCCCGAGTCACTCAGTGGTAAAGAATCGCCTGCCGATGCAGGAGACATGGGTTCGATCCCTGGGTTGGGAAGATCCCCTGGAGAGGGAAAGGGCAACTCACTCCAGTTTTCTTGCCTGGGAAATCCCATGGACAGAGGAGCCTGGCAGGCTGCAGTACCTGGGGCTGCAAAAGAGTTGGGCCAGCTGAGCAACTACACAACAACAGTGTAATGAAATCGCCGTCAAACCCAGTGAACCACAGGGCTTGGACAGTTTCCAGGGTGGTGAACACATCCAGGTGCTGAGAGGGTGGTGCCTCCTGCCCCCTCCCGGAACGTGCCCTGCGTCCCTTTGGTTTGGTTGTATCCTTCATGACAAAGTGGCAATCATAAATGCACTGTTCTCCCGGGTCTGTGAGTCATTCTGGTGCACTCTCAAAGCTGAGGGGAGAGTCTTGGGAACCTCCATGTTCACAGCCCGCTGGCAGCCTGGGAAGGGCAGCTGGCGCGCGGCCCGGCCCAGTCTTGTTGGACTGAACCTGCGGATTCTGACGATGACCCCGGGCAATCTGTCAGAAGGGAACTGAATTGTAGGTTAGCCACTTGGTGTCCAGAGAGGTGGAGAGTTGGTGGGTGTGAGAAAGAACCCCACACATTTGGTGTCAGGAGTGTTGTAGCAGAATTAGCCCGCCCGCCTGCAGCGAGTAAGGTCCACTCCGTCTGTGTAGGTGCTTCTCTGCCCAGACCAGTTCATAAGCTCTGAGCTCATCTACCTGCTGTGTCTATAGGCTCTATTCTTGTTCTCCCCACCTGGACTCTCTTCCCTGCTTGTACCCTTGAACTCATTCAAATCCTGATTCTTTTTTAATTTTTTATTTATTTTTGGCTGTGTTGGCTCTTTGTTCTTGCTGGATGGGCTTTTCTCTAGTTGCAGCGAGCATGGGCTACTCTCTAGTTGCAATATGCAGGCTTCTCATTGCAGGGTGTTCTCTTGTGGAGCGCGGTCTGTAGGGCATGGGGGCTTCAGTAGTTGTGGCGTGTGGGCTCAGTAGTTGCAGCTCCCGGGCTCTAGAGCACAGGCTCAGTAGCTGTGGCACATGGGCTTAGTTGTCCCACGGTATATGGGCTCTTCCTGGATCAGGGATTGAACCTGGGTCCCCTGCATTGGCAGGCAGATTCTTTACCACTGAGCCACCAGAGAAGCCCCATGTCCTGATTCTTGTCTTTGCCTTTATGATCAGACTGTGCTTCTTTCTGTGCCCTCTGATCCTGGGAATAGCACGTCGATTCCCCCCTTTTCTCTCCCTCTGGTGTGGCCTGTGTGCCTGGCCATGCTTGGCTTTCTCAAACAATGTACTTGTGTGCTCTGGAGAGACTCCAAGAGTCTTCTGACTGCAGTATATCTGTTTCAGTGGATCACTTTCTTCTGTGCTGTCTTGGTCCCTGGCCATTCCTTCTGTGGTCCGTTCCACCACCACTCACAGTAGGGACAGAGGTGGCAAAGGTCAGCCCATGGATTGTGTCAGCGCTGGGCAGTTACCCTCTAAAGAGTTGAGAGGGAAGCAGGGAGGCAGGTTTGTAATGGCTTACCACCAGCATGATTCTTACATAGATTTTTATTTTTCATACAAGTACTGAGCATAGTGGCTGGCAAAATGAAGCTTCCACAAAATGTTTATTGAATCGAAAGGCTAATAACAGTAACCATAAATCTATTACCAATGATGAGAATGCATCAGTGAGTAAAGACTCAGTGGGTCTTTGCTTTTTAGTCTATTCACATCTCTGAATGTAGTGGTACACTTTATCCTTTTAATGCTCCCAGTGGCCTTCTCTGTTGTGGGTAAAAATCCAGAAATAGTCCACAGGAATACTCTTCAGTATTTTGGTGTTGAATAGAAAAAGGTTTTTAAAAGGTGTGGAACATCTTATATTTGACATACCAGTTGAGTGTATTCCTAGAAGTGGAGTTTGTATTGTTAGGTCAATCATGTATGACTCTTTGCAACCCCATGGACTGCAGCATGCCAGGTTTCCCTGTCCTTCATCTTCTCCTGGAGCTTGCTCAAACCTGTGTCCATTGAGTTGGCGATGCCATTTATGTAGAGTGTTTAATTTACACTGAGTAACATTAGATTTCCATTTTTCAGAGGTGTAGGCGTAAGAATGACAGAGCCAGTGTATCTCAGCCCTTCATTTGATAATGTACTGCCCAACTACTTATTTTTACAGGTAAGTGTTTGTGAAAGCAAATATTTAGTGATATTGAAATATCCTTCAGTGGATTATTTGAAATCTAAAGATTTGTTTTGTTTCTGTTAACATTTTTTTTTTCAGTGTATTTGTATATTTTCTGATCTACATTTGGTAGCAAGAAAAAGCTGAGATTTTCAACTACGTTTTCTCCCTTCCTTTGCTCAACAGTGTTTTAATAGCTTATTGTAATGATTGCTTTCCATCTCAGCATATTAATCCTTAAATAATGCATGCATTTGCTATACATATTAGTGTTCCACATGTGCCTGTGAGTGAGGTTCAAGTGGTTTACTATTAGCAGATTTTGGTCAGATGGTTATCAATTGCTGTGATATAACAAGTAATTTGTTTGCCTTATCCAGTTTATGATGTACTTTCATATACAGTAACTGATGAAATGATTTGTTACAATCTACTGGTTAGATGGCAGCTTTATTATCATTACTGTTATTATTTCCAATATAAGAAAAGGAAAGATATACCAATATGAATGCAGAGTTCCAAAGAATGGCAAGGAGAGATAAGAAAGCCTTCCTCTGTGATCAGTGCAAAGAAATAGAGGAAAACAATAGAATGGGAAAGACTAGAGATTTCTTCAAGAAAGTTAGAGATACCAAGGGAACATTTCATGCAAAGATGGGCACAATAAAGAACAGAAATGGCATGGACCTAACAGAAGCAGAAAATATTAAAAAGAGGTGGCAAGAATACACAGAAGAACTATACAAAAAAGATCTTCATGACCCAGATAATCATGACGGTGTGATCACTCACCTAGAGCCAGACATTCTGGCATGCAAAGTCAAGTGGGCCTTAGGAAACATCACTAAGCTAGTGGATGTGATGGAATTCCAGTTGAGCTATTTCGAATCCTGAAAGATGATGCTGTGAAAGTGCTACACTCAGTACACCAGCAAATTTGGAAAACTCAGCAGTGGCCACGGGACTGGGAAAGGTCAGTTTTCATCCCAGTCCCAAAGAAAGGCAGTGCCAAAGAATGCTCAAACTGCTGCACAATTGCACTCATCTCAATGCTAGTACAGTAATGCTTAAAATTCTGCAAGGCAGGCTTCAATAGTACGTGAACCGTGAACTTCAAGATGTTCAAGGTGGATTTAGAAAAGGCAGAGGAACCAGAGATCAAACTGCCAACATCCGTTGGGTCATTGAAAAAGCAAGAGAGTTCCAGAAAAATATCTATTTCTGCTTTATTGATTATGCCAAAGCCTTTGTGTGGATCACAACAGACTGTGGAAAATTCTGAAAGAGATGGGAATACCAGACCACCTGACCTGCCTCTTGAGAAACCTGTATGCAGGTCAGGAAGCAACAGTTAGAACTGGACATGGAACAACAGACTGGTTCCAAATGGGAAAAGGAGTACGTCAAGACTGTAAATTGTCATCCTGCTTATTTAACTTATATGCGGAGTACATCATGAGAAATGGATGAAGCACAAGCTGGAATCAAGATTGCCGGGAGAAATATCAATAACCTCAGATATGCAGATGACACCACCCTTATGGCAGAAAGCAAAGAAGAACCAAAGAGCCTCTTGATGAAAGTGAGAGGAGAGTGAAAAAGTTGGCTTAAAGCTCAACCTTCAAAAAACTAAGATCATGGCATCTGGTCCCATCACTTCATGGCAAAAAGATGGGGAAACAGTGGAAACAGTGGCTGACTTTATTTTTTGGGGCTCCAAAATCACTGCAGGTGGTGACTGCAGCCATGAAATTAAAAGATGCTTACTCCTTGGAAGAAAAATTATGACCAACCTAGACAGCATATTAAAAAGCAGAGACATTACTTTGCCAACAGAGGTCCATCTAGTCAAAACTTTGTTTTTTCCAAAGTTGGAATCTTAAAAAAAACTGAGCACTGAAGAATTGATGCTTTTGAACTGTGGTGTTGGAGAAGACTGTTGAGAGTCCCTTGGACTGCAAGGAGATCCAACCAGTCCATCCTAAAGGAAATCAATCCTGAATATTCATTGGAAGGACTGGTGCTGAAGCTGAAACTCCAATACTTTGGCCACCTGATGTGAAGAACTGACTCATTGGAAAAGACCCTGATGCTGGAAAAGATTGAAGGCGGGAGAAGGGGACGACAGAGGATGAGATGGTTGAATGGCATCACTGACTCAATGGACATGACTTTGAGTAAACTCCGGGAGTTGGTAATGGACAGGGAGGTCTGGTGTGCTGCAGTCCATGGTGTTGCAAAGAGTCAGACATGACTGAGCTGCTGAACTGAAAGAAGTCAAGTAGAAGCAGAAACATTTTGTGGATTTGTATGTATCTCTATCAGTTAAATAAATGAAAATGATTCCTGAAAAGTTTAAGATGGCCACAAACTTAAGGCAGTGGTAGTTGTAACACATAGAACAAGTCATTTAGTAGTGTGTCAGGTTTTGGCTTTTTTCTTACACTTGTACATAAAATGTGAGTGCTCTCTTGTTTGAAATAATTTTTACTAAAACCTAAGATAAGAAACTACACAAGGAAAAATTCTATTGAGATGACCATGATTTTAAGACCTTTTAGTGAAAAAGTGAAAATCGCTGGAGATTAAATGGAGAAGGCAGTAAAGAAAGAATAACTGTGCCTGCTTTTATTTACCCACTGCCTTTCATCGTCCCCCCCCCCTTTTTTAACAATTAAAAAAGTTTTTATTTTTGGCTGTGTTGGGTTTTCTTTGCTGTGTGGGCTTTTCTGTAGTTGAGGTATGTGGGCTTCTCATTGCGGGGGCTTCTCTTGTTGTGGGGCACAGGCTCCAGGCACACAGGCTTCAGTAGCTGTTGCACATGGGGTTAGTTTCTCTGTGGCATGTGGAGTCTTCCCAGACCAGGGATTGAACCCGTGTCCTCTGGATTGGCAGTGGATTCCTGTGCCACCTGGGGAAGTCCTCAGAGCCTTCAAATACCATCGTGTTAACAAGGAATTTATTTCAAACCAGTCTGTATAGACCAATTTCTATGTAGCTCTACTTTTTAAAAGCTAAAAAATGTTCAGCTGTTGCTGAAAGTCACAGATGTCAATCAGTTCATCAAAAATGCCTTAAGCATCATCCAAACTCCTTTGCTCCTGATATTCCTTTCAGATCACAACAAAAGTAAAAATGTAAACGGCTTCCCTAGACCCAGATGTCAAATGTTTCTTAGGATCTATCTCATCAAGCAGGCAGCAGACAAATGTATTTGCTTTCTTTCCTATCTGTTGATTCAATATTAAAAAAAAATTCCTTCCCAAGTGGTGTCCTGTGATGTAACATGCTAGAAATGTAAACATTGATCTTTCTGTTCAGGTCTTTATATTTTCTGAGCAGCAGGTTCACTCCTGGTGTCTTTGACATCATTGGTTCAGCCCATCCAATAGAATTCTTTGTTGGGAACAAGATTGACAAAATGAGCAAGGTGATTGGACATGGCATAAAAAACTGAAATTGCAGCTATGTCCCAGGTATCTTCTTGGTTGAGGCTGTGCACCTGGAGCTTTTTGACACAGTCATCTGTTATGTCATCAGCTTGGGAAATAGCAAGCACCCATTCCAGCATTGCCTTTTCCTGGGCAGGGAGGTCCGACTTCCTGTAGTTAACGCAGACCTGGTCAGAGAGCACTGGGTCCTTCGAGAAGACCCTTTACTGGGCACTGTGAACGACCATGCTGTGTGAGCACCTGTTGGCTAGGCTGATCACCCAGATGATGAGCTCCCTGTCAGCTTTGCTGAGCTGGTCTGGTTTCTTTGTTGCAGGTGGCATTGTAATAAGCAAAAAGGCTCTGAATTTCAATGACCGGTGAGACAACACTTTAAACACATTTGGTAAAAATGCTGTCATCAGCCGCATGACACTGAGGCCGCAGGGCAGTGACGTGTGCGTTGGTGCTAATACTCGGGGTACGCCCATCTGTGCACAGAGGGAAGGAGAGCTTGCTTGTCCGTGTCTCCTTCCTCACCGTTGGTTTTCTCTTTTGAAGGGGTGATCTTGGATTCACTTGAGCACTGTAACCCTCTCAAGTTTCTGAGTACCTATGAATTGATGTGTTTCAGCGTGAGAATGAATGGAAACCTTTGAACTTAAAAAACAGCACGCATGCTGGATTTCCCTGGTGGTCCAGTGGTTAGGACTTCCTGCTCACAGTGTAGGGGCTACAGATCCAATCCCCGGATGCCTCATGGTGTGGCCTAAAACATTAAAAAAAATAAAAAGTAGCCCTATGCTTGTTAGCCTCTTATTTTTTTTTCCTGCCAAGCAATTTTGAAAGTAAATGATTATGTAATGTTATTCTATCATACTGAAGGCTGACCCACCATCCTCCAGTCTTTATATAGTGAATACTAATAATGTGTTAATAATTTAGTGAAAAATTATACCTATAGATGGAGGTGCTTTTGACTTGTGTAATCTTTCATAATATATTTCTGAGTGCCAACCAGAAATAGCTAAAATGTTTTCACTTTCTGTTGCTGAAGTGTGGTTGTGGTGGGGAGATAGGAACCCAGATATGGCTTTAAGAGGCATCAGTGGCATAAAACGAAGATTCTTAGGTTGGAATTAGCAAAGCACCTCATATGGCAAGGTTTTGTACATTTCCTGGGTAAAAAGACAGAAAGCTTTTTCACACTTATAAGACATCTCTCACCTCCAGGATGTTGAGAACCACTGAATTGAAAAAGGACAGTGTGCATTTTTTGGTGAACTGGTTGGGGAAATGCGTCATGCATGTGTGTGTTTGTGTGTATGGATGCCCTGTGAGACCACAAGATTCTCTGGGAAATTAAGAATTTTCTGACACTGGTATATTTACAAAAAACATACTCTTGGCTGAGGATGTTGTACTGGGCTACCTCCGGTAATCTCTTTTTAAAAATTATTTATTTTTTTATGGCTGCTCTGGGTCTTTGTTACTGAGCACAAGCTTTATCTCATTGTGGTGCAGGGGCTACTCTCTAGTTGCGGTGTGCGGGTTTAGTTGCTCTACGGCACGTGGGATCTTCCTGGACCAGGGATCGAACCTACGTCCTCAGCATTGGCAGGCAGATTCCTAAGCACTAGACCATCGTGGAAGTCCCTCCAGTAATCTCTGCTTTCTCTGCTTCTGAAATTTAAAGTGATCTAGAGTCATTGACCACTGATCATTTTATTTTTTCCTTATAGAATTTGCCATCTGCTGTAGTAAGTCATGTTCTGGATCCTCAGCCTGGAGAGAAGATTCTAGATTTGTGTGCAGCACCCGGAGGCAAAACAACACACATTGCAGCACTCATGCACGATCAGGTGAGGCCTACTGTGTGCAGAACTGCTCATGGTGTGTCACTCGTGTCATTGTCCCAAAAGAAAAGCCTGTCCTTGGATCACTGTAGCTCAGATTTGACTGCTTTTTCCTCCATATGCATATTTGCTGTGTTTAAAGCTGTGTGGCTTTGTAACCACTCTGTGCTTCAACTGAGATTCTTCAGCTCAAGAAATGTGTGTGAGTTGATGTTACCTTTCCTGTTTGTTTCAAATTCCATAAAACCTGATGGTTCCTAAAATATACATGCTAGTAGCTTCAGTTACAATAGCTTGCTTTCTTTTTTAAAAAAATTATTTTATATTGGAGTATAGCTGATTAATAATGTGATAGTTTCAGGTGGACAGCAAAGGAATCTAAAATGAGGCAATGAACTTACAGCTTTCTTGATCAAGAGTCAGATTTTAATTGATTGCTGGACTGATTAAAAAAAATACTTATCCTTATGATGAGTACTGGGTTACACCAATAAACCAGAGTGACCAAAATGTCCTTCTTCATGGAGCTTACATTCCAGTAAAGGGACACAGATAACAAATAAATAGAAGATAAGGCATATGTAATTGTGGTAAGGGCTGTGGTGAAACAAAGGGAGGGTTCTGGGGCTTGGGAATACAGCAAGAAGGGAGAGTGAGTTTGTAGTTTCATGTGGGTAGCAAGGGAGAGCCGCCCTGGGAACGTGGTATTTGGGAAAGATTTACAGGTGGGAAGGATGTTTCAGTGAGAGGAAATGATAAGAGTGAATACACTGAGGCTGGAGGCTGTCTTGACTTTTGGGGGGAACCTGCATAGTTTTGCTGTGTGGACTAAGTGATGAGGGAGAGAATCAGAGATGGGGTCAGGCCCGAGGCGTTTTGGTGAAGGAGCTTTGCCAGGGTCTGAGGGGACTTCACACCTGCCCCAGAGATGGGAGATTGCTTCCTACATTGGCCGAGGCCTCAGACAAGCTCCACCTCAGGAGACAGTAATTCAGGAGACATCACAGAGGGGGTGAGAAGTTGGGCAGGTTCTGGCTATATTTTCAAGCTGGAGCTATTAGGAGTTGTTGGTGGGTTGGATATGGGTTGTGAAATGAGAGACTAACCGAGGGTGACTCCTTAGGTTTTTGGCCAGAGAACCTGGAGAGACGGAGCTGCTGGATTGGGAGGACTCTGAGAAGAGTGCATTTGGCAGGGAAAAATCAACCATGTTGTTGTTCAGTTGCTCAGTCATGTCCGACTCTTTGCAACCCCATGGACTGCAGCACACCAGGCTTCCCTGTCCTTCACTGTCTCCTGGAGTTTGCTCAAACTCAGTTAGTGATGCCATCCAACCATCTCATCCTTTGTCGTCCTTTTCTCCTTCTGCCTTCAATCTTTCCCAACATCAGGGTCTCTTCCAGCGAGTTGACTCTTCATATCAGGTGGCCTTCAGCTTCAGCATCAGTGTTGTTTAAAAACAGCCACACAGCCTGGCTGGCTTACGGCTTACTCCTGAGTCCATTCTGGAGTCTCTGTGATTCAGTCGATCCCAGCCTGCCTGGCTCTAGCACTGTCAGTGATGGGTTAGCCAGAGGTTCTGATGACGTTGGTGGGCTCACTTACTTGGGTTGGATGGTATTGGCTTAGCTGACGCCACTGGAGTGTCTTGCTTCTGGTCCCTATGGGGCCAGGGTGCTCGCCCAGCCGAGGGCAGAAGTGAGGGTCAGCAGTGGCAGAGGACAGCACAGAGCAAGGATGCTTTTGGAGTGCTTTTCGCATCTCTGCCTACATCACCTTTGCTGTCATCCTATTGGCCAGTGGAAACCACGTGGCTGAGACCAGCTGGGACCAGCCGAGTGTTGCAAGGTCAACAGCAGAGGATGAGAACATGTGAAGACTTGAAAAATTGGGGCTGTTTAGGCAACCTCCCAGTGGGCCAGCACCCCAGGAACCTGAATAGAAATAATTGAGTCAGAATTGAATCCCAGATTTCATTACTGCTTTTGATTTGTTGTCATTGTTGATTTGTTTTAATATAGTTAATCAGACTTTGTGTAAGTGGACACGCCTCCTGTCTCGTACTTCGGTAAAAGCAACCTTCAGCCAGTGCACTTTCTCCTTCACTGTAGTTACACTGGAACCTTATTCTGGGGTTTTTGCCTACTTTTCCAGTTCCACTCACTTGAAATGGTTTTCCTGTCCATCACAATATTAATTGGAATGGTGCTGACTGCTCAACCTGGTGTCATCTCCAGGAACATGATCAGCAAATCTTCAGTATTGTATAGTCTATGCAGTCAGTGCATATGTCACACAAGAAGGGAAAAAAAGCAAAATACATTGAAGAGCTTGTGTCACTATCTCTGCCGAACCATTTCACAAGAGCGTTTTAAAATACCATGTGACTATCACAGTTCAGTTTAGTTGCTCAGTCATGTCCGACTTTGCGACCTCATGGACCACAGCATGCCAGGCCTCCCTGTCCATCACCAACTCCCGGAGCTTGCTCAAATTCATGTCCATCGAGTCAGTGATGCCATCCAACCATCTCATCCTCTGTCATCCTCTTCTCCTGCCTTCAATTTTTCCCAGCATCAGGGTCTTTTCAAATGAGCCAGTTCTTGGCATCAGGTGGCCAAAGTATTGGAGCTTCAGTTTCAACATCAGTCCTTCCAATGAATATTCAGGACTAATTTCCTTTAGGATTGACAGATTTGATCTCCTTGCAGTCCAAGGGACTCTCAAGAGTCTTCTCTAACACCAAAGTTCAAAAGCATCAATTCTTAAGTGCTCAGCCTTCTTTATGGTCTAATTCATCACATACATGACTTCTGGAGAAACCGTAGCTTTGACTGTTAATATCACAGCCTATTCAGGAAACTGTAGCCTCTTGTCTTTAATGACTTTTTTTAAAGATTTTTTTTAATATGGACCATTTTAAAAGTATTGAATTTGTTGCAATATTATTTCTGTTTTTTCATGTTTTCTTTTTTTGGCTGCCCACTGCATGTGTGATCTTAGCTCCCCAGCTGGGGAATCAAACCTGCACCCCCTGCCTTGGAGCATGAAGCCTTAACCTCTGGACTGCCAGGAAAGTCCCTATTGACTTTGACTTAAAGTGTTTCCATGTAAAATTATTTTTGAACTATTTTTTATAGCTCAGAACATTTTGCTGTGATACAGGCTTATATTTTTCTGTCTTTGTCAGAATTCACATGAATTTTGTTATGTGTACATAGCTCAGAAAGTACTGGGGTGAAGGCTGATTGTACAAGTAACATTCGTCTGTATCTCAGGGTTTTAGAAGGCACATGTCTCAGAAAAACATGCTCTTCCAGAGGTGAGCAGGGCACATCACATTGGTGATATTTTAATATTTATCTCAAACGGATATTTTAAAGTTTCTTTGTGTGATAGGTCGCTTCAGTCGTGTCTGAGTCTGTGACCCCACGGGCTGTAGCCCGCCAGGCTCCTCAGGCAGGAAGACTGTAGGGGGTTGCCCTGCTGTCCTCCAGGGCATCTTCCAGACCCAGGGATTGAGCCCACGTCTCCTGCATCTCCTGCATCGGCAGGCAGGTTCTTTACCGTTAGCACCACCTGGGAGAAGATTGCTAACACTGCTGCTCAGTTTTGAGTTCTGTGGAGTAAAAGTAGATGGGCATTATAAGAAAATTATCTGGCAAGATTGTGTTCTTTAAAAGGAAATGCTTAATAGGTAGTCGGTATAAATTTAGTATACCTTTCGATGATGAATTCACCTTTAAAACTGGGGGAAGCAGGAAAGTGGGGAGGAGTATAATTATTCATGAGTTTTTTTCTTTGATAATTTTCATGATTCCTTTGTATTTGCACTTTTTTATGCTTCTTTCTTTCTTTCTTTCTTTCTTTTTTTTTAGGGAGAAGTGATAGCACTGGATAAAATATCCAACAAAGTAGAAAAAATAAAGCAGAATGCATTATTGTTAGGATTGAATTCCATCCGGGCATTTTGCTTTGATGGAACAAAGGCCCTTAAACTTGATATGGTTAAGGACACAGACGGTGAGTTAAATTTTATCTTTCAAAGGATTCTGTAATTGGTATTTACATACAAACAGTCAGATTTTGCTGCCTTTGTGCCAGCTCCTAAATATCCATAGGGCCTTGAAACTCTGTCATGGATCTAAGATATTTTGGCATAATAGATCGTCTTTTTTTTGCTTTTCATCTCATCTTTGAATATCCAGTTTTAAATACAGAATCAAACCTCCAAGACTTGGTCAAATTCTTTGTTCTTAGCCTATTTGTTTTAGTTTCACATTACAGCTCAGGAAGTTGAGATTCGATATGAGCCTTTCAGTTTTATGATTCTTCGTGTTTCATTTTTCTTGAGGAATTGGTGATATATAGAACTAAAGGAAAAACTGCATTGATTCTTGTTCTGGAATAAAATATTGCATTGGTTAACTCTGTTTCTATATCTTTGTTTCTATTTAGACTTTATTTTGTAAAGTACTCATGGAACTTGCATATTTTAATCAATTATGGGCATTGTTTTCCTAGAATGTTTATTGATTAGATGCTGTGATTCATGTGATTTGTAAAAGGCAATTTTTTAATTGGAGGATAATTACTTTACAATTTTGTGTTTCTGCTGTACAACACTGTGAATCAGCTGTATGTGTACACACATCCCCTGCCTCCTGAGCCTCCCTCCCAACCCCACGTCCCACCCCTCTAGGTCCCTACAGAGCCTCAAGCTCCCAGTGTTCAACAGAAACGTCCACCAGCTGTCTGTTTTACACATGGTGGTGTGTATATGTCAGTACTGCTTTCTCAACTTGTTCCATTCTCTCCTTCCCCTGCTGTGTGCACAAGTCTGTTCTCTATGTCTATGTCTCTTCCTCTCCTGCAGATAAGTTCATCAGTACCATTTATCTAGTTTCCATATATATGTGTTAATATATGATATTTGTTTTCCTCATTTACTTCACTCTGTGTGACAGACTCTAGGTTCAGCCGCATCACTGCAGATGACCCAATTTTGTTACTTTTTATGGCTGAGTAATATTCCATTGATACATGTATCACATCTTCTTCTTGTATTCATCTGTCTATAGACAGCTAGGTTGCTTCCATGTCCTGGCTACTGTAAATAGTGCTGCAGTGAATGTTGAGGCAGGTGTATCTCTTTGAATTATGGTTTTCTCAGGGTATGTGCCCAGTAGTGGGATTGCTGGGTCACATGGTAGTTCTATTTTGAGTTTTTTACAGAACCTTCATACTGTCCTCCGTAGTGGTTATATCAATTTATATTCTCACCAACAGTAAAAGAAGGTTCCCTTTTATCCACACCCTCTCCAGTATTTATTATTTGTAGATTGTTTGATGGTGGCCATTCTGACTGGTTTGCGGAGATAACTGCTTGTAGTTTGATTTGCATTTCTTTAATAAGGAGCGATGTTGAGTGTCTTTTTATGTGTTTGTTGACCATCTGTATGTCTTCTTTGGAGAAATACCTGTTTTGGTCTTCCACTCATTTTTGATGGAGTTGTTTGTTATTTTGATATTGAGCCTCATGAGCTGCTGTATGTTTTGGAGATTAATCCTTTATCTCTTGCTTCATTTGCAGTTACTTTCGCACAATCTGAGGGTTGTCTTTTTGTCCTGTTTATGGTTTCCTTTTCTGTACAGGGGCTTCTTTTATTTCATTTACCCTAGGAGGTGGGTCAGAGAGGATCTCGATGCCATTTATGTCAAAGAATGTTCCTCCTGTTTTCCTCTAATAGCTTTATAGTGTCTTATCTTACTATAGGTCTTAGGTCTTATTTTACATCTTTAATCCCTTTTGAGTTTATTTTTGTGTCTAGTGTTAGAAAGTGTTCTGGTTTTATTCTTTTACGTGTAGCTGTCCAGTTTTCCAAGCACCTCTTATTGAAGAGGCTGTCTTTTCTCCATTGTATATTCTTGCTTGATTCATGTGACTTTTAAATTTTTATTTTATATTGGAGTATAGGTGATTAACAATGTGTTAGTTTCAGTGTACAGCAAAGTGGTTATTATATATATCAGTTCAGTTCAGTTGCTCAGTCATGTTCAACTTCTTGTGAACTCATGGACTGCAGCACGCCAGGCCTTCCTGTCCATCACCAGCTCCCGGAGTTTACTCAAACTCATGTCCATTGAGTTGGTGATGCCATCCAACTATCTCATCCTCTGTCATCCCCTTCTCCTCCTGCCTTCAATCTTTCCCAGCATCAGGGTCTTTTCAAATGAATCAGTCTTTGCATCAGGTGGCCAAAGTATTGGAGTTTCAGCTTCAGCATCAGATATATGTATACATGTATCTATTCTTTTCCAATTTAGGTTATTACAGAGTATTGAGCAGAGTTCCTTGAGCCGTACAGTAGGCCCTTGTTTGTTATCTAATTTAAATATAGCATTGTGTGTATGTCAGGCCCAAACTCCCAATCTATCCCTCCTCCACACCCTTTCCCTTTAGCACTCATGAATTTGTTCTCTAAGTCTGTGAGTCTGTTTCTGTTTTGTAAATGAGTTCATTTGTATCATTGTTTTGGATTCTGCATATAAGTAATGCCATAGGATATTTATCTTTGTCTGACTTGACTTCATTTAGCATGATAATCTCCAGGTCCATTCATGTTACCACAGATGGCATTATTTAGTTCTTTTTAATGCCTGAGTAATACTCCATTGGATATGTATACCACATCTTCTTTATACATTCATCAGTCAGTGTACATTTAGATTGGTTCCATGTATTTGCTGTTGTAAATGATGCTGAACATTGGGTGCATATATCCTTTTGAACCATGTTTTTCTCTGGATATAGGCCCAGAAGTGGGGTTTCTGGATTATATGATAGCTCTGTTTTTAGTTTTTTAAGGAACCTCCATACTGTTCTCCATAGTGGCTGTACCAGTTTACATTCCCACCAACAGTGTAGGAGGGTTCCTTTTTCTCCACACCCTCTCCACCATTTATTGTTGGTCATTTGTTGATGATGGCCATTCTGACTGGTATGAGGTGATATCTTATTGTAGTTTTGATTTGCAGTTCTCTAGTAATTAGTTATATTGAGTATCTTTTCCTGTGCCTCTTGGCCATCTGTCTGTCTCCTTGGAGAAGTGTTTTTTTAGAGTTTTTCCCCATTTTTTGCTTAAAAAAAAATTTTTTTTTTGATATTGTGTTATATGGCCTGTTTGTAAATTTTGGAGATTAATCCCTTGTTGGTCACGTGGTTTGCAAACATTTTCTCCCATTCTGTGGGTTGCCTTTTGTTTATGGTTTGCTTTGCTATACAGAATCTTCTGAGCTTAACTAGGTCCCATTTGTTTGTTTTCTTTTTTTCCATTACTCTAGGAGATGGATTGAAAAAGATATTGCTGTGATTTATGTCAGATAGTGTTCTGCCTGTGTTTTTCTCTTAAGAGTTTTATATTATCCAGTCTAACATTTAGGTTTTTAATCCATTCTGAGTTTATTTTTGTGTATGGTGTTTAAGAATGTAGCTGTCCCATTTTATCAGTGCTATTTCTGGAAGAGGCTGTCCTTTCTCCATTGTATAGACTTTCTTCCTTTGTTGTAGATTAATTGCCCATAGATACATAGGTTTATTTCTTGGCTTTCTGCCTATTCCATTGATCTATATTTCTTTTGTAAATGCCAGTACCGTACTATTCTGATCACTGTGGCTTTGTAGTATAGTCTGAAGTCAGGGAGCCTCTTCCTCCAGCTCTGTTTTTCTTTCTCAAGATTGCTTAGAGGGATGGGATGGAGAGGGAGGTGGGAGGGGGGATTGGGATGGGGAATACGTGTAAATCCATGGCTGATTCATGTCAATGTATGGCAAAAACCACTACAATATTGTAAAGTAATTAGCCTCCAACTAATAAAAATAAATGGGAAAAAAAAAAGATTGCTTTGGCTGTTCGGGGCCTTTTGTGTTTCCATACAAATTTTAAGATTTTTTTCCTTAGTTCTGTAGAAAATACCATTGGTAATTTGCATTAAATCTACCTATTGCTTTGGGTAGTACAGTCATTTTGACAATATTGATTCTTCCAGTTGGAGAACTTGGTGTATCTTTCTCTCTGTTCGTGTTGTCTTTTCTCTCGTTGCAGAGAGTGAGGGCTACTCCTCATTGCAGTGCACTGACTCTCCTGACGGTGGTCTCTCTGTGGCAGAGGATGGGCGTGGAGCATGGGTTGTGGTGCATGGAGTTAGTTGGCCCCTGGCATGTGGAATCTTCCTGGACCAGGGGTTGAACCCACGTCCCCTGCATTAGCAGGCGGATTCTTAACCACTAGACCACCAGGAAAGCCCATGTTGGAAATTTTGAAATTGGGAATTATGAGTCTTTCAAGTTAGTTCATCTGCAGTTTCTTCTTTGCTAATCTGGATGCCTTTTGTTCCATTTCATTGCCTCATTGCCCTTTCTAGAACCTTAGTACAGTGCTGAATAGAAGTGGTGACAGGGATCCTCCATATCTGGTTCCTGATTAGTCTTTTTTCAAGTGGCTTAAAGCTGTAGGTTTCTCATAGATAACCTTTATCAGGTTGAGAAATTTACTACTATTTCTAGTTTGTTGGATATTTTAAATCATGAACTGGTGTTGGATTTTGTCAGATGCTTTTTCTGTGTCTTACTCAGATGATCATGTGGTTTTTGACCTTTATTCGATTACTTTTCAGATTTTTGAGTCAGCCTTTCATTCCTGAGATAAATCCCACTTGGGCATAGTGTATAATCTTTTTCATATATTGTTGGATTGAGTTTGTGTGTATTTCATTGTGAATATTTGTGTCCATGTTTGTAAGAGATACTGGTCTGTGGTTTTCTTTCTTGGGATATCTTTGTTAGGTTTTGGTATCTCTGGTCTCATAGAATGAGTTGGAGATTGTGCTTTTCTCTTATGTTTTTGAAAGAATTTTTGAAGACTTGGTATTATTTAAGTTTGGTGGATTCATTAGTGAAGTTGTCTGGGCCTGGGCTTTTCTTTGTGGGATTTAAAAAAAATGTTTCAGTCTCTGCTTATTAT